CATTTTCATGGCTTTTATTTCCATTTTTCATCATATGCTACAGAAAAATTATATCCTCTGTCTAATTTAAAAAGAAAAAAAAAAGCTGATTGCCTGCCAGTTTGGGCAGAGAAAACTAGGAAATGGAGTTTGGCAACAAAAAGGCACCAAACAAGCGACAAAACTTGAGGTCTGCAAAGTAGTGATGCTCTTCAACCTGTTGTATTGGGTGTGAAATTAGATCCTATCAATGTCATACTCACCCCCGAGCAAATGTCCTCTTGTGACAACTACATGCTGTGCTTCAAGAGAAATGATAGAATAAAATTTCCAGCAATTATGTTTCTGGAGCAGGAACTCTCCAAAAGTATTAACATAGCATTGACTGGCCGTTGGCGAAATCTCCAAGCATCTCTGGAAGCAAGTGCCCAAACCACCTTCAACAGCAGGTGTTGAACAAAAAAAAAAAAAAAAAAAAAAAAAAAAAAAAAAAAAAAAAAAAAAAAAACAAGCAAAAGCCTTCCAGGAGTTAGCATGGCACAACCTACGGAGATGCCACTTCCGAAAATTGGAGGCAACAACTCAGATTATAACAGTAAGAAATTCGAGAGCATGTCTTTCAACTTTCTTTCCTCCCCCCTACTGTCTCTGCTTCGCCAGTCTTGATTTTTATTCCACTATAATTTATTAGCCATCTATCAGCTCCATACCAGAAGCTTGTTTTTTAAACTAAAAGTCAGACAAAAATATGGCGGTGGCAGAGAAGGGGATTCAGGGGCAGAAGGTAAAGCCAACAGACTTTAGAGAGTGATATTCAAAGCATATCACCAGTGTGGGAGTGTTAGATAGTTGCATTTTTCAGGGATAATTGGATCAGGAGGGCAGACACCTAACGACAGGGAACAACTTTCTTCCAAAAGAAGCCCCTAAAAAGCATCATGTGAAGAGTCAGTAAGAAGATGCCATTTATGAGGGAGAAAGCTGGCCCTTCAGATACTGATATATCTGCACCTTATTCAAAGATATTCCATACCTAGAACTATGAGAAATATATTTATTTTTTGCATATGCTATGTATCTGGTGGCATTTTGTCGTAGCACTCCAGTGGCGCGAGGCACTGTGGGAAGCTGGAGAAGCTGCATTAGCAAGCAGTAGCCAATGCTCATATATATTTCTCAGACCTGAATCTCTGCACATGTGTTTAAATAGGGTGGGGGAGATCAGAGGCAGCACATCCAAGACCCAAAAGACAAGAGTTCTTCTATCTTTGGATTTTTAAAAAAATATAATTTTTGATTGGAGAGGGCTAGGATTTGAAACATTTAGGAAACCGTAAGTCCTGATAAGAGTTTTAATGTGGATAGATTCCCTTATAACACTTTTTAAAAGTAATGAATTGAACTCACAATGAGCTTCTAATAGAGTAACCCAGGAAAGTAGAAAATGGGGAGAAATGCTTGTAAAGGAAATGTGGCTAGAGAGTGCATACATGACTGTGAGTGCAGAATCGTCAACTGTGGAGTTCTGAGCAGCAGCATGACATCATATTTCTCAAAGAAACGTATTTTCAAAATACGTCCCTACTGATCATAAGGAAAAGTTTTGAAATTGTGCTCCTAAGTCAAGTGAAGCAGGTGTTGTTAGTAGAGGACTTTCCTAGTCTCTAAGTACTTATGTTCATCACGCACCTCTGGGAGGAGGGTATAAAGATGTAGTGTGTCCACCATGCATAACCTTGTCCTTTTCTCTAAACTCAACACTGACATAAAATATCCCCAGTATTTTCAGAGCTGCACTTTGGGGAAGATGATTAAGTTGTCCAAAGGCAACCAACAGCTCCTTCAAACCTGGTCTATTGTGCTTTCTTATACCGTCTCAGAGTCACCGATTTAGTAAACAGGTCTCTGATTTGGATACTGCTTCTCCTATTTTCATCTCTCTCCTTCACCCAAAAGGAAAATGTTGTTATGATTGTCTGACTTTGGAATGGCACCACCTATAAACGAAAACAGAAGGCACCTTACATGATCTTAGAATTCAAAGCTCTTAGGTCACTAAAGTCACACCCACTGCTGTGAAAAGCACTTCCCATCAGACCAACCCCAAGAAGGTTTTAAATGTCCCTTAAACCCATACCTTGAAAAAATAATTAACTGGAGATCTCTCTCTCTCTCTCTCTCTCTCTCTCTCTCTCTCTCTCTCTGTATATATGTATGTATCTATGTAGTATTATTGTGTTATTAGATTTTTCTGCCAGCATACCTTGACCTCATCCTCTAATGTCTGAAATAATTTCCAAGAGCATGGATTCTTTTACTTTAATCATTCACTAATTCATTCACATACTAATTCACCTAGGAAATAATCACTGAATCTTATTACTTCTGTTTGGCTGTTTGTCGAGACAAGGTCTCACACTGTGGCCCAGTTTGATCAGTACCACCATTCTCTTCTTTAAAAAAAAACATTTCTTTTATTTTTTTAAATTCTAATATAATTACATAACCTCTACCTTCCTTTTCCTACCTCCAAACCCTCCACATACCCCTCCCTGCCCTTTTTCAAATCCATGACCTCTTCTTCATTAATTGCTGTCATTCATGTGTATGTGTGTGTGTGTGTGTGTGTGTGTGTGTGTGTGTGTGAATCTGTATAGTTATGTGTATGTATGTATGTATGTTTATGCATCGCTCTTTCCTGAGGAAGACAATTTCTCCCCCTCTCAGCATTCTTTAGCTACCTTAAGTTCTCTGTCTAGAGTTGAAGCCTCCTGGGCTTTCGCCCTTCCTTGTTAGTATGTCTATTGTGTGTCATCCTTACTCAAGGTGTTTAAGCAATCATGAGTGTAGCTTCTGACATAACTAGGTGACATACTCTAACTAGGGCTTGGTACCAGTCTCCATTCCTCCCAGGGCCCTAAAATGTCTGTGTGTTTATGGGATGGAAACTTCAATCTGGTTCCTATTTAGGCCAGACTGTTTCTAGTTCTGCTCGTTTTGAGACCACGGCTCCTGTAATTTTACCCTTTATTCTGAGATGTACCCAATATATTCCATTGAGAAAAACAGATAGGCAGACATGTACAGGGACAGCATTGAGGTCCTAGAAGCACATGCAGACCACCCTCCCCTTACATGAATTTGTGGAAATTTGCTAGTATAAAAAGGAGTGAATAAGCAATATCTTAGTGTATATGACTGAAATACATACATATAGAATGTATGTACATATATGTATGTGCATGTATGTGTGTGTGTGTGTGTGTGTGTGTGTGTGTGTGTGTGTGTACAAAAAGTTGAATTAAAGAATCTGTATTTGGCTGCTTGGCCAGGACTTTCGAAATTGAATCCTCAAAGTGGTTCACACATAGAATCCATACTTGTACAAATTGGTTAATGTGGCAGAGATCTTTCCAGAACTTTCTTGACTACCCCTTCCCCATCCACAACACTTCCATGTGCCCCCTGCTCCTTGTGTTCAGCCCATTTATTTGTCTCAGAAATCATCTTTTTTATTCCTTTACTTCTTTGTCTTTTGCCTGTCATATGCCCCAGAATTTATGCTTTTAAGGGTAGGGAAATTGTCTTTTTTCTTTGTTCCTATTACTTAGAATTGTATTAGCATCTAGTAACAAATCAGTAATAACTTGTTAGATGGAGGGATGCATGGATGGATGGAGTAACCTAAGACCTTGTTTATTCTCCTACCCCATACTTTTTTTTATTACTAAAGCTTTTAATTTAAACTAAGCAATCCTAAAATTAAACCAAATTCCTTCAAAAGTTTATTATATATGTACACACACACACACACACACACATATATATATATATAATGTACAATTATATTTTATCTGTGAGGGTGAGCCAAATAAGAATCTGTGAAATAATAACCAGGCTGTTTGATCTGAATAAATACCAGAATGCAGCATTTATATGTGAACTTTCCTTTCATCTTTATCAGAGGACGTTCCCTGGGTAAAAGGATTTTAGTTACCAACTCAGGGCTTTTTGTGAATTTGCCTAGCTGACCCAACAGTCACTTAAGTTTGCTCTCTACATCTTTGCACAAAAGACTGTGATTTCTAAACTCCATCTCCACATGCTTCAAATGCCATTATATGGATAGCCCACCGTTATATCTGAAAAAAAAAAAAAAAAAAAAAAAAAGAGCAAATGCTGTAGACTTCTTCACCAGCATGGGAGAAATGCTAGATGTAGTTTCTGTAGGTTTGAAAAGTGGGTACCTTTTCCCAAATAATCACCAAGGACAGTCTATGATCACCAAGCACCTGTTCATCTCCTTTCTCCACAGTCTCCATCAAGTCAGCCACAAAGCCCATTAAGGATGCAGTTTTTGAGTTTGGATGAAGTGGTTAGTAATTAGTTCCTTTTGCATTTGGTAATTCTGTTAACACAACTCAGTAGGTGTCTTGTTAATTTGTTCATTACTAGGTGGATGAGAATGTGCATCTCTTCTGTGAATAACAATTATTCCTAAATGAGGTAATTTTACCAAGACGGTGAAATTTTCTCATTCTTCCCTGGTTTAAGAATATTACTGCCAAGAATGAACAGCTCCAAACAAAGCAAGCTGTGGGAGGTGGAGAATGGTGCTCTTCCATGGAAAGTGGTAGGAGGCAGCAGAATTATTTTTACAGTCTTGAAAGGAAGTCCATTTCAGCGTGCATAGGGCTTCAGAAGGAAGAGACTGGACACTTCTAGTGGAATGACTTCTGTTTCTTATCAGGTAGCCATGGTTCTATGGATTCTCTTTGCAGGATTAAAAAGATACGTCAACAAGGGGATGTAAGAAGACTGAACAGATAGCACATCATCATCATCATCATCATCATCGTCATCATGGGAACGTGGTCATACTCCATGGAGTCTTACACTAGTGGACACAAATTCTCAACATCTCCTAAGAAGAGCTGTCAGACCACGTTCCTGTGTTTTGCTTTTTTTCCCCATCTGAATCACAGTAGCTACATTAATTCATATTTTTCGCTTAGTTGAATTTTTACAAGATTAAAAATCCTCTAATGTCTTTAGCAATTTTACAGGTTAGCCCAGGAAGTGAACTAGGAGCATCCCTGAAGAAACTCAAGAAAGAATCAATTTTTAGTCATAGAAAATGGAGAGTATTTTTCTTATATTTGCATTTTTTTCAACATGTTTCTGCAACCCAGAAAAACACATGCAGGCTTCCATTTCTTCCTAGACAATCCTACTCCACTGTCTATGTTCATATACATATTCTCTGAACAAACATCCCAAGGGAAATTGATTTCTGCCCTTTGGTCAATGGAGTTGATTCACAACACTGAATGAAGGGCCTCTGGATGCCCATTCAGGGGATAGTAGATCCTGAGAGACCTTTTGTCCTTCTACTTTGTCCTTATTCCCAACTACAGAGGACAGGATAACTTACTGACAAGCTTTCATGACTATTTTCATGGTCACAGAAAAGCAGATTAAATATGATTGCCTCCATCCCCAGAACTGCAGTGACCAGGTTAACCTTCTGATAATCTTTCATGACTACTTACAAAGTCCTAGAGAAGTGGGGGAGACATGACTGCCTCCATCCCCAGTAGAAGTTGTGAGTCAGGGGATCCAAATCCCCAAGCCACCTGTTGTGTGCCCAGCTCTCTCCCCCTTAGCTACTCCAAGTTAACTTCGCCTGTATCAACTGCAACAGTCTCTCTACTCCCTCTACATTGGCTAACACTCAATTTACTCTCAGAGGAGTTAGAGAAGAGTTTTTGTTTAACTTGACATTTCATTTTGTCTCCTACAAAGGAATGCCCTTACAGAAATCTCATTTCCTAACTGTTAGGCCATTTGCTTGAGACATTTTTACTCAAGGGAAGGTATAAAAAACAACATGTACTGAATATTTCATTCCACATAGATTGCTGAGAGATTAACAGAGGATGTGGAATATAGAAAGTGCACAATAACTATTGCTATTCACAAATGGTGAGTATTTTAAAAAGCAAACATCAATAAGCAACTAGAAGTTCTCAGGTCATCAAGCACTACCCCAATTATTTTACATTCTTTTCAGAATACTTAACCTGTACTTCCAATAACCATAAGAAACAGAAACTGTGGTGATATTTTATCTGTGTCCCCCAATAAAATTTATCCAAGGATCAGAGGAAAATGCCAGCCACTATATTAAACATAGAAGTCAGGCAATGGTAGCCCATGCCTTTAATCCTATCACTCGGGAGGCAGGGATCCTTCTGGATCTCTGTGAGTTCAAGGCCACACTGAGAACAGAGCCAGGCATGGTGGCACATGCCTTAAATTCCAACACTAGTTAACCATAAAGGTCTGGAGGTCTGTACAGACAGACAGGAAGTGACAGAGCTGGGCAGGAAGAGGAAGTGATGTAGGTAGGCAGAGATGAAATGAGTTGGCAGAACAGAAAGGCATATAGGTGTGGGTATATAGGAAGTAGGTCTCTTTGGAAGCTGAGGAGTTGATGAGGCGAGGTTAGCTGTGGCTTTTCCTATTCCTCTGATCTCTTAGGTTTTAACCCTGATGTCTGTCTCTGGGTTTTTTTTATTTAATAAGACCTTTTAAGATTTGTGTTACAAGAAACTCTTCTCATCTATTTTAAGAATGAGAATACTGAAGCTCAGTGTCATGTACAACATTGGGTCTCTGTTAAACAGCAATGTAACGCGGGCTTGCTCCTTCTAGTACAAGTAATGTTTGGAGGTTAGAATTTGGGTCATACTTTTCCTGGTATCTCTCACAGTGTTTAACAGGAAGTCTTTGGTCCAATAAGTGTAGGATCCTATCAATGATAAGAATTGAGGACTTTGAGCAGGACAGCATGCATTCAGATCCTGACTATGTAACATTACCTAACACTTTGGAGGCTCCATTTCCTCCTCATACAATGGATATAACCACAGCACTACTTCTAAAGGGTTGGGAGCCTCCTGCTTAGCACAGAGTCTACTCACTAGAAAAGATTCAGTAACAACCAGGTATCAACAACATAGCTCAATGGCTAACCTGGAGCTCAACAGAAGAAGAGCAGCAGCTATTCGCAGGTGAAATGAATGCAATACGCTGTGCATGAATTTTAAAAGATGGAATTCTTTTGTTTCATGAGTTCCTTCTCAGACCAAGCCAGGAACAAAGTTCCACTCATCCATTCTGGTATTCACACAGCATGGCTGGCAGCTCATATATCTTGCTTGTCTGTTCACACCTTAAGAGCAGTAGAAGGAACATTGAGCAGGAGGTGTCTTATTCCACAGGGCACTGCTAAAAGCAGAACTGAAATAATCTGCACTTTTTCAGTCTGAGACCCGATGGATAGGCTCCTTGGCTTAAATGGGGAGTGGGGATACATAAGGGGAAATGCAAGGCTCCACGTCAAAGTCTTTACAATGTCATTCACCACAGATGTAGGAAATCTGCGGAGCCCAATGAAATGGGGACACCTGAGTTAGAGACAGGCTCTGGGAGACATCAGCTCAGTGTGTTTGCCGTGCTGGATGAGAGCCAAGTCCGTGAGAAAGTCTGCTGTCATTTCTTTTCACAGGCACTGGCAAACAAGTGTAAAATCTCGCAAGCGGAGGAGACAGGCATGGTGGCAGGGACTTAACAGCAGAGTTAAGTTGATGAGACAGAAATGTGCTGCAGGACCCAAGAGAGCTGAAATCTGGAAGACGGCGAGCAGAGGCCAATCTACACAGAGGCCTGAGACACTTAGACATGGCACTCCCTTCCAATGAAAGAAGTAAGCCCAGCTAGGCACTCCAAGCAGGATGGAAGCCATGTGGGGCTGCTGGATCAATCTCTCTTGGGTTCCTTCCCACTTTACTATACTGGAAGCCTGCAGCTGGGCCTGAATATAAACTCTACTTCTTCAGAGGAGCATATGTAGAATGTAACAAATTAATGCTAACACATTCATTCAATTTCTATTTATTGACATGTCATTTTTCATTTTGACGTTTTTATCCCCAAAAGGGCTGTTTCATCAGACACGGAAGAAGAACATCAACAAAGAAGGATGTCTTTACGATGCTTTTTGGTTCACTCAATAGCTCTTCCAAGACCAAACACTACAAGGAGGGCTTTACCCAGATGGGTTCAGAGACAATGTGGTCCCACCACAGAAGCCTGTTCTCATGGTGCGTGGCATCTGGTCCTATAGGGTGGTGGTGGCAGGGAGAGGGGCGGTCTTCGCGGTAGATGAGATTTCTTTTGCAAAACCACCATATGACACAGCCTTAAAGAAAATCATCTGCCTTTGCCAAGATTCAACCAAAACTTCAAAGGAATTTGAATTTCCTTACTATGGATTTAAAGACCTCCAAAGAGGGAAGCCCAGATTTGGAAACAAGAGCAGCAAAGCCAACTAGTACTTCCTGAAGGCTTCAACCAGATAAAACCTCAGTGCTTAGAAATGCTTACTGTAGCTGACCAGTCGTGACTATGAATGCCCACACCATAAAACATCCCTGTCAGGAAACTGTGTTAATTTCTCTAGGTTTTGCAGATGAATACAGGGGAGCACACAGAGAAGATGAATAGGTTTGCCTGCAGCCCTTCAGTGAGTCATTGCCAATCTGAGAATTACAACTCTGAGCTCCCAACTTGCAGCTCTGAGCTCACACCTTCAGGATGAGTCTTCCTTAGATCCACCAGACAATGGCTTCAAAGTATTTATGGCAATTAGAAGAGGAACACTGTCTCCTATTAGGACACACCTACCAGATTCTTCTTTTGGACCTTGTCACGGTTGTTGCCAGTGAGCACGGAGCAGGAGGCAGAATTTAGTGCTTGAAATCTTCCAATCTCTAGGCAGACTTCTTAATGGCAGAAATCAGGCCTTATAAGGAGAAAAGTTGGAGATGGGAATTCTCTCTCTGGCATAACTTGGAAGGAGGAAAGTTAGGGTGTGGGGGAGCAGAGAACTAGGCATCGCACTGTTTGTTCCTTAACTTGAAACTGACATTAACTGAATTTAACTAATATTATGCCATAATATCGTTCCTAATGTGATAACCCACAGTCCCTGGGTTAATTCTTGTTCTTCCCTGCAAATGTAAAATATATATATTAAGAAGCACTTAAGCAGATAAAAATAGAGCTCAGATATTTCTGCTTCATTTGCTGCCCTCTGCCAGGTAGGTAGTGGCAACGGCATTCACAGAGATTTCCCTGTACTCTAGACGAGTTAGGTTCTAAGGGACAAGGTAGAGATAGTCACAAACAATATTTCAGATCTAGCACCAGCCTTCACATAGGTTAAAATAAATTCAATTATAAAGAAAGGGAGGTCCTCACTAATGATGTATCTGAAAAAAAAATGCCATTTTGTTTTAGAGTGGGTCTGAGGAATAGATGGCAAATGTTCCCTCCCAAAAATAAAGATGAAAACTGGCAAACTGAGTTCATTGTTCGGGTTCTGTCCCCAAAAGACTTTATTTACCACCCGTTCTTTACCTAGTCAGTTATTCTTTCAAGTCACACAGCAGTGAGTACTGACTTTTCTGGCAAGAGCCACACTTCCGACATTCTGGAGAGCGGCCATAGTTCTTTTCCAACCTTCTCAGATGTGTGCAGAAAGCACAAATAGAAAGCCTGGAAGCATCCCTCGGGGGGCAGCCTTGGAGCTGGTGTTAGGCTAGACCATCCATCACACCCTCATCTTACAAAGGGTTCATTACTATGTGAAGGCTGGATGGGTTCCTCACACCCTCATGGTACAAAGGGTTCATTGCTATCTGAAGGCTGGATGGGTTCCTCACACCCTCATCGTACAAAGGGTTCATTGCTATCTGAAGGCTGGATGGGTTCTTCCTAGGACTAGGAATTTGCATAGCATTCCTTCCCACCTCTTTTCCAATACTCTCAGTTTTTAGAAAGGGAGTAAAGAGTTTATGTTCTAGCACAGAGAAAGTTACTTTTTCTTTATCCAGCCTTAATGGCAATTTTCTCCACAATGGAACTCTTCTTTGTGACCATTACTTTGTGACCATTTAGAACTGTCTAAATCTTGCTTCTAGTATTTTAAAATACAGTAACCAAGTTCAAAGGTTATATTTAAATTTTTTCAAGACTTATATAAACAGTGATGAGAAGGTTGGATTTAACATTCACTAAGAACAATTTGGAGGAAGAAAGTCATGACTTGACTCTGACTGTACCCTAGGACCACTTCATATTTTGAGCTTTTTGCAACTGGGTGGATATCTTCTGCTCCAAGTCCACAGAACCAGCCAGGCAGCCCTCCACAATAGCAGCCAGGCAAAACTTTATCAAAGGGAGAAGCAAAAAAATCCTGACAGATGATGCCGCCAGCGCTTCAGCAGCCAGGTTAGCTTTGTTCTGATGCCATTCTGTCCGGCTTAACAAGCAGATATTAAGAAAAGTTTATAGAACACCTAAATGAAAGGTTGTCGGTGGAGACAAGAGCTGCCAGTGGGCACCATACATCCCAGCTGGGGGGAGACGACGCTGCAAGTGGCTGAGAGCAAAAGAAGTTTGCTATGGGAGCAGCTGCTTCCAACCCCCACTAGAAGCAAGGCTTAATCATCTGGCACCTAAGAGTCTGGAGTACAGGCTGGAGAGAGCCACAGCCACTGGGAGTACTCTGGGTGTGAGCCTCATCATTAGATTAGATACAAATGATTTATTTGCAGACATTGGTTCTTTGGCTGCTCCTAACCTAGAGTGGCATTTCCCATCCAGAACCTGCTTACCTAAGCATGAAAGGGCAATGGCCATAAGAAAATAGGGAAGAGTTTCAGGGAGGAGATTAGCAATGTGATTTAAGGCTTGAGAAAGAAGGGACCTGAAAAAAATCATACAAGTCAGGGCACCCTGTGGAAGAGCAACATTAGGTTACGTGGTTGGGCTGAAGTATGTAGGGCAAGCCAATAGAAGTCTCTTATCAATCTGCAGTGACACTGAATTCTTCCTGAGTCCACATTCCTTTCAAGTGAGTGGGTTTTTTTAATGTGTATGAATCAGGATGCCTCAGAAAGGCTATGTGTCCCTAACGCACCAAAGTCACGTTTCAAGCTCCATGTAATGATACTATTACTCACCGATTCATTTCTTCTTTCACTGCAAGTTCAAGTCAATTAGAAAAACAATTGCTATATTTGCTTCTACAACAAAAAATAAAGAGAGACATCCCCTAAATGCATGTCTGCCTCTCCTGCTTCCGCTATCCATCTTTTATAACCAAAGCTGTTAATGCTTTTTGAAAAAAATAGAGGTGTAAATTGCAGGCATCTTCTCCTGAAATCACTACAAGCCTCATACACATACCACTAACAGTGAAAGCATGTGACTGTTTCTGACTTGAATCACGAGCATGTATTTTCTTTTATTGGGGGAAAATGCAGAACATAAAATTAACCATTTGAAGTAAACAATTCAATAGTATTTAGTAATCACGGTGTTTTATAACCTGTGTCTCCACTGCAGTTCCAAAAACTGTTGAGTTACCCCCAAAGGGAACCCTATACACATCAAGTAAGTTACTCCCTGATCCCCACTGTCTTCCTAGACTAGCCACAGGCACCAGCATACTCGGGAACAGTGCTCACACATGCTTTGTTGTGGTGGATTCAGTGTTGCTATTCCCAGTGGACCCCCCTCCCCACACAGTCATATTGGGTTAGGGGTTTTCTCATGGTCCGACCACAATTAAGATCTTGGGTCTAGACACAAATGCTCTGAAAGACAAGGTCCCCACCACTTCAGGATTGCATTACATTGATCAAAGCCACCACAGTCATGAGCCAAGCTTTCCACAGTCTTTCAAGACAATTGTCATTATTCCTTTCTGTAGCTGCTGGGATTTTCCTTGAAGCCAAATGATAAACCTAAAGTTGATTTTCCTGAGACTGGTTTAAGAGGTCCATCGAATAGGTAAGAAATGCAGGTGACCACATCAGGTTAAGTGCTCTTCTGGCTAACTGATTTGTATCTACAGAGGGATTTAAAAATCACACATCCCAAGTCTGCAGCCCAGGCTGTTCCTGCTCCCCAGAGATTTTACACACATGCACACTAACTTCCATTATAATCCTCCTATTTTTAGTTACACAGAACTTTTTAAAGAGGTTTCTCTTGGAAAGTTTGAAGGTTTTCAGTAGTTATTTTTGTGATTCTTAAGGAGGAAGACCTGGCTTTTCCACCTCAGAAATGCCAATTTTTTTTTTCCTTTTTAACATCTGACTCAAATAGCCAGGTTATAACATGCCCTAATTCCTTCTCTTGTACCTTGTCTTCATTCACAGCAAGAGTTACACTGAATCCAAAAGAAAATAAATCATTTAAAAATATTCCCCCCATGTACTGTAAAAAAAAAAAAAAAGCATTGTCTAATAAGGTTCATTTACATTGTTACCAGAGGCCATAGGGAGTTATGCAAAGTACATTGCATAATTCCTCCAGGCTGTTAGTAGGTGTACTTGCTGCATACGTAGAGAGGGGAGAAATTTCAAAGGGATCAGGATGCAAAAAGAAAAAGTAAAAGATGGGAGGAAACCTATAAAAGTATTAATTCTGATGCAATGGAGAGTTTTTTCTCTGTCCTTTTCTGTTTATACTCCCATTTAAAAATCTTTAAGTATTTTTAGCATCACTTCTGCAAACATCGTAAGTGGTGCTGATAAGACCTGATGTCCACTAAACTGGCCTAAGTATGTGGACTCCCTAAGGTTCAGTTCTGAATTCTTTCCCTTCCCATTGCAATCTGAAGTTATCATTATTACATTTTTCAAACACTGTCAAGGAATCCAGCAGCGAGGATCTTTGATGTTGTGGCTAATTGACAGTTCAGTCATTCAAGAGTTATTTTTAGCATTTTATTCTTTCTTCTGATTCTCAAAAATACTTTTGGTGTGTGGAGATATGTAACAGTCTATTTCCAACTAGAAAATATCACCAATTCTTCAGCAATTACAAAAAAAGGATTATTTGTTCAATTTAAGGTCCAATGGACTCAAGACTATATTGAGAACCCAGGAAAATTATGGGACTATAATAAACTGGATATTTCATTTTTGTAGAGTGTAGCAAATTTGAAGTCTTCTGTTGCAAATTCAATGCTTACATATGTAAATATGAGGACAAATGTAACTATGCTGGCTATCACTTGTACCCATAAATCTAACCTGAATTTTCATAATCACATGTCACAGTGACCACAGTAGAACTCCAAGACAATAAAAAAGGAAAATGGGCATTAATCCATTTATTCAATAATTCATCTTTCACTTCTTGTTAGAACTGTAGTATTTTATTATACCAAAGAAAACACTCTTGTTAGCATCAGAGTAAATGAGAAATAAGAAAAGAATGGACTGATGGGAGGCTATTTGAGTACTGAGTAGTAACTGAAGTATTTACTAAAATATCTTTATAACATACATAACAGAAGTAACAATATCTATACCACTTCATGCTCACAATGTTCATTAAAACATCAACAATTAACTTTAAGGAAGTCACAGTGAACATTTACATCCTTAGTCTTTCTCAGGGACTTAGGTCATCTCTTCTTCCTAATTCTTTGGTCCTTGAACACATACACTGGGTATCAATATTTTTGTTCTTTGCCTCCATCTTTATCCTCATACTAATAACAGAATATCAGGCCACTGCTTCCACTTACTCCATAAACACTAACTAAGCAGCTGTGAAAATGTTCGTCATACAAGACAATAGTTCAGTGAAAGGCAAGCTACCGTCCTTCAATTCCAGGCCAAGAGGTCAAGAACACAAAAACCCAGAGGACAAGCTTCATAACTACCAGAATGACAGGATGACATTACACTTCCAAAAAGAGAAAAAAGGAAAGGAAAAGCAAAAACTATGGGAGGAACACTGTAGAACAGTTATTCTCAACCTGTGGGTTGTGAACCCCCACCCCCTTTGGGTCAAATGACCCTTTCACAGCGGTCACCTAAGACTATTGGAAAATACAGATATTTGCATTACACCTCATAACAGGAGCAAAGTTACAGTTATGAAGCAGCAACGAAAATCATTTTTTGGTTGGGGTCACCACAACATGAGGAACTGTATTAAAGGGTCGCAGCGTTAGGAAGGCTGAGAACCACTGTTGTAAAAGAAACTGAATTTCATGTGAATGCACAGGGCAAGGAGAGCTCACAGGAGAAAACTATAAAGGAAAGTATAAAGCAAAGGTAAGGTGCCTTAGCCAGTAGATGTCTTACTTAGTGCCAGTCTTTAGCTCCTATTTTTAAAACTTCCTAATTTCTTCTGAAAGAGTGAGTCCATTACCTCCAAACCAACACTCTCATGAATCCACACCCCTAAATCTTTGTTTCCGGTAGAACACTTCATGATTGGAACTTGTCTTGACTTTGTTTGTCGTTTGTTTGGATTTTGTTGAATCAGGGTCTCATGTAGGCCAAGATGACCTAGAACTTGCTAGGTAGTCCAGGTCATCATGTATCTGATATGTTAAATATCTTTAAGATATAGTATATATCTTAACTATCTGGTTCTCCTTCCTCTACTTCCAGAGGGATGGCATTACTGCCATGTGCCATGAGCCATCATGCTAGTGTAAGTAGTGTTCAGGAAACACAGGGGGAAATCATTTGTATTGTTAACTGATAGTGAATACATACATGCAGAGATTTGTTAGGGTAGAAAGAGATGAAATTGTTTTCTCCATGGGAAGCAAACTAGAGAAAATACTGCTTACCTGTTCTCCAAATATCTTTGGCTCCCTCACCTTAAAGAAGTATTATCGGTGGTGGTGAATGTGTTAACGTCTCACGTGCAAAGCCATGTGGGGTCTACATTCTTCCATATGGTGTGA